TTCCAACTTACAGTAGAATGTGCCTTCACCACAATTTGGAAGCTCCCCATTTAACCGTTAGGTAGAACCTGAAGTAACTATGACAAATGGGAGTACTTTTCTGAGCTGTTGTTCCCCCTGAGATGATTATGGCTGTTCCTTCGCCGGATAGTGACTCTCAAGTTCTTTAGACTTAAACACATCCTTGTGGGGGAAATCGCTTTTCTTTTTTTCTCTAAAAAAATTTTTTTTATTGATTTTAGAGAGGAAGGGAGAGGGAGAGAAAGATAGAAACATCAATGGTGAGAGAGAATCATCGATCGGCACACACCCCACTGGGGACCGAACCCGCAACCCAGGCATGTGCCCTTGAAGGGAATCAAACCTGGGGCCCTTCAGTCCGCAGGCTGACGCTCCATCCATTGAGCCAAACCAACCAGAGCGGGAAATCGCTTTTCAATGCGTCCGGTTTACTTGGTACGTGGCTGTACTATTGTCACTTCCTGCCTGTCCCACCAACGTGGAGCTGCCTCTCCTCAGCCTGTTGGAAGCAGGGCTGGGGAAATGGAAGTAAGGGCGGGTTTCTGGAGCCGTTGTTTCCCTGTCATCAGAGCTGCTTATGTGTGTCCCATTGCCTGGCTTCTTCCCGAAGAGACTCTAGAAACGTATGCTCTGGAATGTATCGAGGGGCACAGTGAACTGTCATGTAAGGTCTTATGGGCGTCTCTACCTGGTCTGTGCTGTTGCTCACTGTCTCTTCTGCACAGACCTGAAGGGACCACATTAGAGCGACATGAAGAAGAGCCGGTTCCCCCTCCCAACACGCACAGGGATGGACAGGCACACACTCTTTCTCAGAGTCTGGAAAAAGGAGTTGAGAGCCAAGGAGTCGTTTTGTAAGACTTGAGTACTAGTACGCCCTGTTACCCCCAGCCTGGTCTCTGTTTTAGTCAGCTGACTCACACGGATAACATACTGCATGCCAAGTGTTGTTTCTGAGCTTTGTATAAGTACTAACTCCTCCAGGGCTCTCAAAGACCCTCTGAAGTCAGTGCTGCTGTTATCCCTACGTATAGATGAGGAATCTGAGGCACAGGAGTCCTCCAGGAGCTGCGTGCGATGCTGGTTTTCAGAATCCTTGCTCCCAGCCCCTGAGCTTTGCTGCCTCGGCAGGGATTCCATCCCAGGATGGGGGGTGGGGGGGTGGGGGGGGAGACAGCCTCCAGTCACAGAAATAGCAGCCTCTTTTCGGCCATATGTGGTCAGGAACCCCGGCCTCTACTTCTGGCTCTCTGACCCTGCATTGTTCTTTGCACGGTCATATTTCATACGTTATATAATTCACTTTATTCTTTTCTGAAGTTATGCATAGTACATATACTTAAAGTTCATATAAATCATGAATGTCTGTGACACTTTTAAAAAAATGGGTCCTTTTTAAACATGACACAACATTAGAATGTATACAAAAAGAATCTTTGGACTAGTAAGCACAAGTTTGTGTCCTATTATGCATCCCCTTTTATATTTAAAGAAAGTTCTTTTAAAATATATTTTTATTGATTTCAGAGAGGAAGGGAGAGGAGGAGAGAGATAGAAGCATCGATGATGAGAGAGAATCATTAATCAACCGACTCCTGCACGCCCCCTATTGGGGATCAAGCCTGCAACCGGGCATGTGCCCTGAGTGGGAATTGAAACCAGCAACCTCTTTGTTCATGGGTCGACGCTTGACCATTGAGCCACACCGGCCAGGCAAGGGCACACGCTTTAAATATGACTAGATGAAAGTCACATTTAGCCATGTAACTGAATAAAATCTGTGAGCTGACAACATTATTAGCGTAATTAATACGATGTCATAAAAAATTATAATCGTCCACAGACTTAAGTTATGGCTCAAGAGCTGCTATCTGCTTTTTTATTTGGATTGTGCTTCCTACCTAAGGAACAGAATGTTTCTGTTTTATGAGCTACTTTTGACTTCAGCTCCTCCCAGTGTGATGCTCGGGGCTTGTGCCTATATATGGCCGTGTGTGTAGGTATCCGAAAAGCACTGGCCCTTGAGGATGTGGCTCCTTGAGAAATCTCTTTGTTAGTCCAGTTCTTACTTTATCAGGTATTTCTCTAAGCCGGTGATTCTCAAGCTCTTCCTTCTCCTGGCACACATTGCTAGCATTCTGTGGCACACCGAAACTATTGTGTGAGCACCTTCACTATTGAGGGCCACATGACTGGCCCCTTTGGTTCATTTACTACCTGACTGAATATACGCTACTTCTCCCTAATAGAATCCCCGTGCTGAGGAAGTGCCTTCCTTGTGGGGAACCTCTGAAGGGTTTCAAGCAGGAGAGTAGAGTTTTAGGAAGACTGCTGTGGACATTTGGGGGTGGGGTAAGGAAGAGATGGCTGTCATCCAGGGGAAACATGACAGTGGCTGGGAGCAGGATCAGGATCGGGGGCATGGGAGTGAAGTCGAGAGAGAGCGGAGTGAACGGCTCGAGTCACGTTCCAAGTGAAATAGGAAAAAATCCTCCAAGGGCGGGGGGGGGGGTATCCCTCCAACGGGCCAGACATGTCCCACGGAGAGTGCTGTCCGGTGTGTGAAATAGTAAACTACGCTGCTCACCTCTTGTGGTGGGCCTCACTGACTCGTGGCATTTTTGATCAGGAGAAATTTATTAAAGAGGATAATTCAGTGGTTTTACAGAGTTGTGTAACGATCACTGCCACTAATTTTATTTATTTTTTTATTTTTAAAAAAATATATTTTATTTTTATTTTATTTATTTATTTATTTTTTTTAGAGAGAAGAGGAGAGAGGGATAAAGAGTTAGAAACATCAATGAGATAGAATAATTGATCAGCTGCCTCTTGCACACCCCCTACTGGGGATGTGCCCGCAACCAAGGTACATGCCCTTGACGAGAATTGAACCTGGGACCTTTCAGTCCGCAGGCTGACACTCTGTCCACTGAGGCAAACCGGTTTCGGCACCGCCACTACTTTTAGAACATGTGCATCCCCCCACACACAAAAAGAGATCCATTAGCGTTCACTCCATTTCCCGCTACCCCCAGCACCTGGCAGCCACTAATCTACTTTCTGTTTCTGTGGATTTATCTGTTCTGCACCTTTCCCGTAAGTGTGGTCTTTTGACACTGGCTTCTTTCATTTAGCCTTGATGTTGCCAGGGTTCACCTACATTGAAGCATGTATCGCCCCTTCATTCCTTTTTCTGGCCAAAGAGTTCTCCGTGATAAGATGCGCCACATTTTGTACATCTGCTCACCAGTTGGTGCAGATTGGATTGTTTCCTCTTCTTGGCTGTGGGGAATAATGCTGCCATGAACGTTTTCGTACAGGTTTCTGTGTGGACGTCGGTTTGCGTTTTCCATGGGTATATTCCTAAGAGTGACACATCCATTCTTGAGTCTCTTGCAGCAGTTGAATATTTTTGGTGAAAATGGTATCTCGATAGAAAATCAGTGTCTGGTCGAAGATAGGTATTTATCCTAAGATTGTTAAACATAGATTTTTAGCAAAATTTGTAAGGTGGTTAAAAGATACATAGATCGCCAAAACTTGTTTGGCTCAGTGGATAGAGCATCAGCCTGCGGACTGAAAGGTCCCAGGTTCGATTCCAATCAAGGGCATGTACCTTGGTTGCGGGCACATCCCCAGTGGGATGTTTCTCTCTCATCGATGTTTCTAACTCTCTATCCCTCTCCCTTCCTCTCTGTAAAAAATCAATAAAATAGATACATAGATCAACTATCAGTTGTGTGTGTGTGTTTGTGTGTGTGTGTGTGTGTGTGTGTGTTGATCTCGGGCTGTGCACTTAGGATATTCATATGGTGGTTCTAGGAACTATAAAACCTGGACTTTGGCAGCATCTGTTTACTTCCACCCACAAGCCAGACTTTAGTTACTTAAAATCCATTAAAAGAGGAGAGGGGGCGATGAAGAGACAAGAGCACATAGGGTTTTTAGGACAGTGAAACTGCTCAGTATGATGCCATAATGATAGGTACATGTCATTGTAAATTTTCCCAACCTGGTAGAAAGTACACAACAAGAATGGGCCCTAATGTACAGTAAACTATGTGATACTGGACAATAATGCTGTGTCCGTGTAGGTTCCTCAGTTATAACAAAGATACCACTCTGTGGAGGGTGCTGATAAAGGAGGGGCTGTGCATGTGCAGGGGCCAGGGAACTAGGAGAAATCTCTGTGCTTTCTGCTCAGTGTTGCTGTAGATCTGAAATGGCTCTAAAAAACAAAGTCTACATTAAGAACTCACTAAACGATCACAGCAGCGGTGTGTATTTCTAAGGGAATCTTCCACCATTTGGTTTGAGGGCGGCAGATTGTACACCGGTAGTCTCCTGTTTGCCCTGTATGTAGCTGGTCCCTCTGCCTCTGCAAAGCCCTGGGTGGCCTGGCCTCTGCCCTCTGCCCTCTGCCCTCTGCCCTCTGCCTTTCTTTACTCCGTGATCATATCGCCTTTCTATTCTTTTACACCTGCTGGGCTCATTCTTGCTCAGGGCCTTTGAACCAGCTCCCTCCTCAGCCTGGAGTGCTGCTCTTCCACGACACCCCCACCCCCCTTTATCCTCTTAAGTAACATTCCCTCAGAGAGACCCCTTGACTGCGTGATCCTAAATCAGCCGCATCAGCCCTGGTCTTACTGGACTGACTTCTCTAGGTGACGCTTCCCACAATCTTCTTCTTTATCTGCTGGCTTGTTCCCATGTCAGAAGGTGAGCCTCGTGAGGGGAGGGACTGTGCCTGCCGGTACTGCTGCCCCTCCAAATAGGGTCTGTCGTGTAGTAAGATGTCCATGGGATGAACAGCCAAGTTGCTTTTCTCCTCCTGAGATGCTGGTCCTGTTAGAGTCAGCGTCTTCCTGGGGGCAATGTCAGATAGCTCTTGATTTCACCTCTACCCCCAGGAAACCAACAAAACATAACAGCAGAGCGTTATCGTTATTTAACCTCTCACTTTTTCCACCTTGTAGAGCTACCCTCCTCTGCCCCACACCACTCTTCGCTGAAAGGATCCGCTGCGAGGCAGTGCCACCTGCTGTGAGGACCAGGGTGGGATTCGCTTGGTGCCATCTGCAGACAGTAAGTTTGGGGCTCCCTGGCCCTGTATCATACATATAATTTGCATCAGTGGAAGGTTGGCTGCCTCCCAATTGTCCTTCGATACTGCCAAGATATTCTTTTATACCTACCTGGCTCATTCTTTTTTTTTTCTTTCTTTTTAACATATTTTTATTGATTTCAGGGAGGAAGGGAGAGGAGAGAGAGATGGAAACTTCAACTATGAGAGAATCATTGGTTGCCTCCTGAATGCCCCCCACCGGGGATCGAGCCCGCAGCCAAGGCATGCGCCCCCAACCAGAATTGAACCTGGGACCCTTCAGTCCACAGGCAGATGCTCTACCCATTGAGCCAAACAGGCCAGGGCAACCTGTCTCATTCTTGCTCAGGGCCCTTGAACCAGCTCCGCCTCAGCCTGGAGTGCTGTTCTTCCATGGAAACCCTCTCCCCCCATTATTATCCTCTTAAGTAACATTCCCCCAGAGAGACCCCTTGACTCAGTAACTGCCTTGGCTGTGCATTAAGAAAAGTTTGGTGTGCTTGGTCATGTGGCTCAGTGGTTGAGCATCAACCTATGAACCAGGAGGTCATGTTCGATTCCCGGTGGGGGCATATGCCCCAGTTTCAGGCTTGATTCCCAGTAGGGGGTATGCAGGAGGCAGCCCATCAGTGATTCTCATCATTGATGTTTCTATCTCTCCCTTCCTCTCTGAAATCAGTAAAAATGTATTTAAAAAAATAAAGTTTGTGGTACTAAAAATCTTCAAAGAAGCATCAATCAGCTCTGCAGCTATTCAGCAACTTTACTGCAATTATTACTAGCAAAGCTATGCTGCTTTATAGTTATTTAAACTAAGGTTAAAACAGAGTGGTAATTACATCCTTTCTATGTCCATTAAGGAGGAAGGAGGTTTTCTCTTTTTTCATTGACATTTGCAAGTCAACTCACTGTCTATACCAATTTGGATTTAATTTCAATGATAATTTTATTCTTGAAAATAAAAATATCAGTTGCATTTTTAATGCAAAACATTTTCTCTCCTCTACATATATTAGTATAAGCCCCTTATGACTGGAGTTCATTTGAGTCTTATGATAGCCATTCTTTTTCATCATTACTAAGTAGTGTGGTAAAAAAAAGACTTCAGTGCTAAGATGGACCCCAGGGCCTTATAATCCCAAATTAATGAAAAATAAATTTTTATGAACATTTAAGATAAGGTGACCAGATGTCAGTCCAAAAATCGGGACTTTTTAAAAATGCCACGGGATGTGGGACAAATTGTTAAAAATCAAGACTGTCCCGCCAAAAGCGGGATGTCTGGTTACCTTAATTTAAGAGTCACTGTTCAGCACTACATTCTAGAGGCTCATTTGTCTTCTGTAAAATTCAAAATAATTCTAGGACTGTTGCTGGGATTTGAATCCCTATATCAGGCCCATACTGGGAATGACAACCATTTTTAAATGTTTGACCCCAATGATATCTCTGCCTTTGTCTGGTAGTGTCTGTCCCGTTGAAGCTGGGCAAAGAAAAGAATTCATTTTTCCTTCAGACACATACTGAACGATTTCTGTGCTGGGCACTTTTTTTCAGTGTTGAGAACAAGGCAGTGAACAAAACAAACTCCTTGCTTTCATGGAGCTTTAAAGAAGCTCCCGGATGTCCTCAGCAAGTACGCGAGAGAAGGGAGGTGCAGGGAACGTGGCTCACTCCCAGCTGCCTTGGGGAACCCCCTTCAAGATGGCAGCCGGACCCAAGATGAAAAGATTATTAGAACCTGATTTGGAAAACAAGATAAATGCAACCTTATGCTCTAGATTAATCATTGCAACAATATAGAGACCTATTAAAACAACAAATAATAAGATGCCGGGTTGGGCTTAGGAAAAGAAGAGGAATTACTTGTCAAGTGTACTATTTTAATACATTTTTTTCAGGTGTGCAGATTCTGCCCAAATTCTGCCTCTGCCGTCCCCGCCCTGCTCCCACGGTCAGTGTCTAGCAGGCGTCTTCAAACTGCGGCCCGCAGAGGAGTCTGATCCGGCCCGCCAGGTTTTTTGGGCAGTGAGCACAGCCGAGGTGTTACAGTAGGAATTAGTAGTTCATATAGTCCGGCCCTCCAGCTCTCTGAGGGACCGTGATCTGGCCCCCACTTTTAAAAGTTTGAGGACCCCTGGAATGCATCCTGCCATTTCCCGATGCACAGACAAGCAAATGTGACTATGAATTTATATGGACCCCCAACATAAAGGAAAAGATAACAAGACATACCTCTCTGCCATGTATGTCTTCCTTCTAGACTCGGAGCGTTTATCATTAGTACTAAGAGAGCTTCCTCCTCCTTTTTTTGTTTTTCTCAGGAATTACAGAGTAGTCCATTGTATGGATGTACCACAATTTAAATAGTGACCTACTGATAGGCATTTGGGTTGTGGCCAGTCTTAACGCTGCAGTAAATAACTTTGCACATAGGTTATTCTGCATGTATGCAATGATATCTGTGTAAATTTTCAAAGTAGAATCACTAGTCATAAGGTTTGTGTATACTTTTGATCGATGTTATCAAATTGCCTCCCAGGTGGGGCTTTTCTCATTCTCAGCACTGCTAGGAGCTTGTGAGAGGAACTGTCCAGGGCCTGGACTTTTGCCAGTCCGGTAGGTTAAATGGGCTCAGGAGTTTCAATATAGGAATCCTGTTTGTTAGATTTTTCAGTGGTCCTTTTTTTTTTTTTTTAAAGAAGAAAATGCACAGAAAACTAAACAGGACTAGAATTCGGCTGTTTTTATTGTACAGGTGGACTACTAAAGGCCATCTTAAATCTTCTATTATGTAATTTAAAATAATGCTTGTTCATGTTAAAAATGCTCCATTTTAAAATCTAAAAACACAGGATAAAAATGCTTCTCAGGCTCATGATGTACCTAGGTGACCTGCTAGGAGAAAGTCCTTTGTCCTGTGGTTTGGTCCTGTATTATATAGAGAACTGAAATAGGACTGTGTGCAGAATGAGGTACCACAGCGGGCTTGAGACTGCTGTCCTTAGTTAGACAGGCCTGCTTGTAAGGCTGGCCCTTGGTTGGCATCTGGGAATTCAGATTTGAGGAGGGTTTCTACCATAATGTCTCTGTGCCTGAACTGTTTGTGCAGACAATAATATTTATGTTGAATATCTGCTTGCCTTCTGGGAGGCATTGGGATAAATGCCTGGCAGGTGCCTATGTGGCCAGCCCAATAACAACCCCAGGCACTGAGTCACTAATGAGCGTACCTGGCAGATAGCATTTCACAGGTGTTGTCACAGCTGTTGGGGAATTGAGTGGGAGTTGAGTCTGACCCTATGTGATTCCACTGGGAAAAGGCCCTTGGAAGCTCGCGGCTGGTCTTCTCCGGACATTGCTCCACGCGCCTTTTTCCTTTGCTGATGTTGCTTTGTGTCCTTTTGCTATAATAGCCACGAATGCAACCAAATGCTGGTCCTCTAAGTTTCAGTCCTAGTGATCCTGAACTGGAAGTGGTCTTGGGAACCCTGACACAGTCAGCGTTGCAAAGATTTAATATTCTGTCTGCAGTGTTAGTGGTGAGTGACACACAAAAAATTTAAGCATGCAATTAACTGACCGTTGGCAGTCTGTGTTCTGTTGTAAAATGTGTAATCCCTCAGGTTTCTGAGCAGTGACTTAGCATTTACATCTACAAATGGAGGCAACAAGAAGGCTGCCGGGTACTGAGGGTTTTATGCTTAGTGCCAAGTCCACAACTGGTCCTTTGATCTTTCCAATGTTCATATTCAGGCTTAAAAGTTTCTTGCTTTAATTTTCTATAATCTGATGGTTAGATAAATGCATTTGCTCAAATTCCTTTGGATTTGTAGCCACAGGATTTTAGTTAGGCAGTCTAATTTCTAATTCTGCTCTGATTCTAAAACTTACCTGCAAATAAATGATCCTAGAGCCGTGTATGGGCCTGGGTCCTTGCTCCTTTGAGGAGGACCTCTGCAGCCTCCCTCCCGATTTTTAACCACCACACGCTGGTGTGAGACTAGCTTGTTCCATGTCTCTGCCCATCCTACCAGTGCCCCTCCGACAAGTCTCCATGCTGCTGCTTCTGTATACTACTAGGTGTACCGGTTAATGTGGATTTTATAATCAAAGAAAACATGATAATTTCAAGAGAAACATCAAAAATGCTTTATTCAAAGTAACGTCCATCACTAGCTACACATTTCCCCCATCTTTCAGGTAACTTGTGGATACCATCTCAATAGAACTTTTCTTGTTTTGAGGCAAACCATTCAGAGACCCAATTTTCTATTTCTTCGTGCATTTTGAAGTGCTTCTCAGAAAGTGTGTGTGCCATTGTTTGAACAAGTGGTAATCTGAAGGAGCAAGGTCTGGTGAATACAGCGGTGGGTTAATACTTCCCAGGCAAGATCTTTTAATGTGTCTTTAACTGGTTTTGTAGTGTGTGATGGTGCGTAATCGTGAAGCAAAATTACTTTGCTGTGTCTTTGGCATATTCTGGTCATTTCACAATCAAAGTGTAGTTAAACTGATTATTTATTGTTGGTAGCACTTAGTATTAACTGTTTCACTTGGTTTTGGAAGCTCATAGTACACCACACCTTCCTGATCCCACCAAAGGTAGAGCATTGTCTTCTTTCTGAAGTGATTTGGCCTTGCAGCCAATGTTGATGCTTGACCCATGATTTTGTGCATTTGGGATTCTCAAAGTAAATCCACTTTTCATCACCAGTCACAATTAAATGCAAAAAAGTTTTTTGTGCTCTTGGAAGCTACATTTTACTGATGACTTTTTGGTTTTTCATTTGTCTTTTGTCAGTTGATGTGGCACCCTTTTTCCTTCCTTTAAAATCTTTCCCATTGCTTTGCTTGTAAATTATCAGAAATTGTTGGCTGAGCAATGTTTAATCTTTCTGCAAGTTGTTTCTGCATTTGACACACATCTTCATCCAATAATGCTTATAATTGTTCGTCTTTAAACTTTTAGTTGACCTGG